TTTTTTTTTAAATTAAGCACAAGTGATAAAAAATTATTTTGAAAATTTTAAGTCGGAAAAATTTGAAATGTTTGTGAATATTTTTGTCACTTTTGTAACTGATTGAAACACACTGATAATAATAAATCAATTTTCAAATCGATTTATGAGATAAAAAAAAAAAAAGAATTATTTGTTGCACATAAGATTGATTTATTATTATCAAATAGATTAATTGATTTAATGGATGGGAAATGATTAAATTTTAGGAAAAAAAACTGTGAAAGACAAAGAATGAAATTAATAGAATTAAATTGTTGGTTGTTTATGATAATAAAAATTAATTTGAAAATAAATGAATGATTTAGCTAAGATGTTCAGATCAATCTTATAAAAGTTCATTTTGATATATCTTATCAGCTAAACAATTGAAATGTGTTATTTATCAATTAGCTGTGTGATCAGCGTAAGAGCGTTTAAGAAAAAAAAATTGATAAATTAACAAATCATTAAAAGTGCTTTCATTTGAATGCAAATGAATTTAGGAAAGGAGAAATTGTCACAAAAATGTCACACTGATTATAACTGATAGAATATTGATATTATAAAAATAATTTAACATTTAATATCCTTAATCTACTTAAATTACATTGATATTGTGATATGATAATATTGGTAAATTATTTACACTGATTTGATAATATTGATTAAATCAGTTGAATCAATTAATGCTTTTAAAGAATGCGGCATTGATCATTTAATGATTTAATGAGCAAAAAAAAAAAAAAAAAATTATATTAAATTTCTCATAATTTCATTCAGTTTAACAGCAAATGTTTTGAATCTAATAGATTTAATCAATAATAATTAGGATTCTATAGCAGTTTTACTAATTATCAATTAATTAGTTATTTTTAAAAGTTATCAAATATAGTTCTGATAATAACTTCATATTATCACGAATCAATTATTCTAAAAAAAGATTTGAGCGCAAAATTAAAATTATAAATTCAAATATAAGCATAAAACTGCTGAAATTGTTAAAATATGCATAAATTACGTAAAACTGATAGCTGTAATTATTTGAAACTATTAAAACTGAATGGAATTTTTTAAATAATAAACTTTTCTTAATTAAATGAAAAATTAATTTGACAAAAATATAATTTAAGCTAAAAATATAAATATAAAATTCTGCTTTTGAAACTTAGGTAACATTAGATGAAAAATTTAACACTTATTGGCTTGGCTAGTAGAGATATGATAACAGTTTATATCAATTATAAATTTATCACTAAAGTCAAATTTTTTATATCAGATTGCAAAAATTATAAAAATTTTTCTCGAGAAATATATCAATCGGTAAAGCTTATTTAATTAAATTAAGCTACAAAAATCTAGCAAAACAAAAATTTTAAGTTATTTTAAAATAAAAATAGGTGCAAGAAAATGTTAAATTTGAAATTTTGCAATCATTTAGCTTTCAGCATGAAGGTAATATGTAAGCTTAATTGCTAAACTTTTTGATTTTGATTAAAGTAATATATAATAAATTAAAGTAATATATAATCAATTTTTTGATTTTGATTAAAGTAATACTTAATAAATTTTTTTTTTAATTAAAGTAATATTAAAAACTATTTCAAAAATTATTGGTATTAAAATTGAAAAGATTATAAATTCAAACCACATGTAAATTCTTGATAGGATTTTTTATCCTGAAATTAATTATAAATATGTTTTGAAATTTGCTCATTTTTATAACAAATAATCTTTGCTTTTTCAAAATTTCTCAAATTTTGAAGGAACTACAACTATTACCAATTTCAGGATTTAAAAAAAAAAAAATAAGTGACAAAATTTGTTATTTCATACTCGAGGAATTTCATAAGAAAAATTTAATTATTATTATTAATTATCAATTTATTTTCAGTGTTCAATTGTTATTTTATGATTAGTTTTTTTTTTTTTTTTTTTTTTCGACAAAGAAAATTTTGTCAAATAATTGAACATTTGTCCACAAAATTGTTATTAGCTTTATTGGATAGTTAAAACAATCATTTTTTGATTTGTCTAAAATGATCGTGATTTGATTCTAAATGATTGCAGTTATTTTGATCAATTAGCTATGATCAATGCTTTTTTTTTTTTGAACTGATTATTATTCAATGATAATTTTCCTAAATGTAAAGAAAAAAAGGACGAAAATGAATTGCTTTTTGATCATTTATTAGTTGCATTGATTGCCATTGATTAGCATATATTATCGTACCTCTTGGTACCGCACCTTTTGCAACCGTATCTATTGGTACCGTACCTTATGGTAACATACTTTTTGTTATTGTACCTCTTTTTACCTTACCTTTTATCACCGTACCTCTTGGTACTATACAATCTTATCACTATACACCTATTCTAAATTACCTTTTAGTACCGTACCTCTTGTTACCGCACCTTTTGGTACCGTACCATTTGTTACCACACCTTTTAGTACCGTACCTTTGGTAAAATTACCCTTTATCACCGTAAATCTTGGTACCGTACCTCTTATCACTGTACCTCTTGGTACCGTACTTTTTGTTATTGTACCTCTTGTTACCGTACCTTTTGGTACCGAACCTCTTGTTTGCACCTTTGGTAACGTACCTCTTGGTACCGTATTTTTGTTATTGTATCTTTTTGGTACCGTATCTTTTGTTGATGTACCTCTTTGTTACCGTACTTTTTATCACTGTATCTCTTGGTACCGTACCTCTTATCACTGTACCTTTTGGTACCGTACCTCTTAATTCCGTACCTTTTTATCACCGTACCTCTTGGTACCGTACCTTTTATCACCAGTACCTCTTGGTACCATAATTTTTATTGTATCTTTTTAGTACCGTATCTTTTGTTAATGTACCTCTTGTTACCGCACCTTTTATTATTCTACTTCTTGGTACCGTACTTTTTGTTATTGTACCTCGTGGTACCGTATCTTTATTACTGTACATCTTGGTACCATGCCTCTTATTTCGTAATTTTTATCACTGTATCTTGGTACCCATTGCCTCTTATCACTGTACCTCTTATCACTGTACCTCTTATCACTGTACCTCTTATCACTGTACCTCTTATCACTGTACCTCTTATCACTGCACCTCTTATCACTGTACCTCTGCACCTCTTATCACTGAACCTCTTATCACTGCACCTCTTATCACTGTACCTTTTATCACTGCACCTCTTATCACTGTACCTCTTATCACTGCACCTCTTATCACTGTACCTCTTATCACTGTACCTCTTATCACTGTACCTCTTATCACTGTACCTCTTGGTACCGCACCTTTTATACCGTACCTCTTGTTACCGCACCTTTATACCGTACCTCTTATACCGTACCTTATGGTACCGTACTTTTTGTTATTGTACCTCTTGTTACCGTACCTTTATCCTGTACCTCTTGGTACCGTACCTCTTATCACTGTACCTCTTGTACCGTACCTTTTGGTACCGTACCTCTTGTTACCGCACCTTTGGTACCGTACCTCTTGTTACCGCACCTTTGGTACCGTACCTCTTGGTACCGTACCCTTTATCACCGTACCTCTTGGTACCGTATTTTTGTTATTGTATCTTTTGGTACCGTATCTTTTGTTGATGTACCTCTTGTTACCGTACCTTTTATCACTGTACTCTCTTGGTACCGTACCTCTTATCACTGTACCTTTGGTACCGTACTTTTGTTATTGTACCTCTTGTTACCGTACCTCTTGGTACCGTACCTTGTTACCGCACCTTGGTACCGTACCTTTATTTTCCGCACTTTTTGTTATTGTACCCTCTTACCGTACCTTTTATCACCGTACCTCTTGGTACCGTACTCTTATCACTGTACCTCTTGGTACCGCTGGTACCGTACCTCTTGTTACCGTACCTTTGGTACCGTACCTCTTGTTACCGTACCTTTGATACCGTACCTCTTGGTACCGTACCTTATCTACGTACCTCTTGGTACCGTACCTCTTATCACTGTACCTCTTGGTACCGTACTTTTGTTATTGTACCTCTTGTTACCGTACCTTTTGGTACCGTACCTCTTGGTACCGTACCTTTTATCAGTACCTCTTGGTACCGTATTTTTGTTATTGTACCTTTTGGTACCGTATCTTTTGTTGATGTACCTCTTGTTACCGTACTTTTATCACTGTATCTCTTGGTACCGTACCTCTTATCCTGCCTTTGGTACGTACTTTTGTTATTGTACCTCTTGTTACCGTACCTCTTGGTACCGAACCTTGTTACCGTACCTTTGGTACCAAATACCTCTTGGTACCGTACCTTTTATCACCGTATTTCTTGTAACCGTACTTTTTATCACTGTACCTCTTGGTACCGTACTTTTGTTATTGTACCTCGTGGTACCGTATCTTTATTACTGTACCTCTTATCCTGGTACCTCTTGGTACCGTACCTTTATCACCGTACCTCTTGGTACCGTACTTTTTGTTATTGTACCTCTTGTTACCGTACCTTTTGGTACCGTACCTCTGGTACCATACCTTTTATCACCTCTTGGTACCGTACCTTTTATCACCGTACCTCTTGGTACCGTAATAAAAGTTATTATCTTTTTAGTACCGTATCTTTTGTTAATGTACCTCTTGTTACCGTACCTTTATTCTACTTCTTGGTACCGTACTTTTGTTATTGTACCAAGAGGTACCGTATCAAAATTACGGTACCAAGAGGTACCAGCCTCTTGTTACCGTACTTTTTATCACTGTACCTCTTGGTACCGTACCTCTTGTTACCATACTTTTTATCACTGTATCTCTTGGTACCGTACCTCTTATCACTGTACCTCTTCGTACCGTATTTCTTATTGTACCTCTTATTAAGATCTTGGTACCGTACATTATTGTACCAAGAGGTACCGTATCAAAAGTACGGTACCAAGAGGTACGGTACCAAAATCACGGTACCAAGAGGTACAGTAATAAAAGTTATTGTATCTTTTGGTACGGTATCAATTGTTAATGTACTCTTGCTACGGTACCAAAAGTTACGGTACTTTTTATCACGGTATCAAAAGGTACGGTACCAAGATCACTGTACCTCTTGGTACGGTACTTTTGTTACGGTACCAAAAGTTACGGTACCAATTAGGTACGGAACCTCTTGTTACGGTACCTTTTGGTACCATATCCTTTAAAACGGTGATAAGGTACGGTACCAAGAGGTACAGTGATAAAAGTACGGTAACAAGGTACGGTACCAAAGGCAGTAATAAAAAGTACGGTACCAGAGGTACAGTGATAAGAGGTACAGTGATAAGAGGTGCAGTGATAAAAGGTAACAGTGATAAGAGGTACAGTGATAAAGGCAGTGATAAGAGGTGCAGTGATAAGAGGTGCAGTGATAAGAGGTACAGTGATAAGAGGTGCAGTGATAAGAGGCAGTGATAAGAGGTACAGTGATAAGAGGTGCAAAGATAAGAGGTGCAGTGATAAGAGGTGCAGTGATAAGAGGTACAGTGATAAGAGGTAAAGAAAGTGATAAGAGGTACAGTGATAAGAGGTGCAGTGATAAGAGGTACAGTGATAAGAGGTACAGTGATAAGAGGTACAGTGATAAGAGGTACAGTGATAAGAGGTGCAGTAATGGCGCGGACGAAAGGGCGGCCATGCGGGCGTGGCGGAGGCGGGGCGAAAAGGGCGGTCACAAGCGTATTAGGGCGGGGCGACGAAGGCGTGGCCTGTAGGCGCGGGGTGGTAGCGGAGCGATGAGGGCTGAATTTTCGAATTTTTCTAGAATTAAACGACCAGAAAAGAAAGAGATAAAAGGACAAAAACAAAATAAAAAGTTAAAATTGCAAAGGCTATTGAAAGTTTTATGATCAATAATTTTTTTTTAAAATGTAATTTCCGTATGGTATTTCATTGAATTTTTATGTCTTTTTTTCTTGCTTAACAAAAAAAAAAAAAAAAAAAAAAAATGAGAACAAAAATATGATAGGAAAGAAAAAGAAAAAAACCTAAAATTACAAAAATCATGTTTGCTATCTGTTTTGATGATAATAAATTGAATAATCAGTGATTAAATTAAATTATGAAATAATTTTTTATTTTTAGTTGCAATATAATATAGAATAAAAGAATCAATTAAACTATTTAGTACCTAAATTAGATTAGTTAAAAATCAGCGAAACAAAAATATTCATTTAAAAATGATGAAATTAATGAAATTGAAAATATTTTTCTTTTTTTAAGAAAAACTAATTTTCTTTTAAAGTTTCAAAGAATTTGGTAAATATTGTTACTGTTATTGTTATTATTGCTACCTTTCAAATTTAACTACTAATATATGTCATACCTTTTTTTTTCTTTTTTTTTTTCAAAATTTGTCTACTTAAATTACTATACTTTTGGTGATATTTAAATGGTTATGCTTTATTTAAATTTATTCTAGCATGTGGAATTCTAGCATGTTTAAGGATATCTATTTGGTATTATTTAATTTAGAATATTTGAATGTAATATTGTTTATCTTGTATAATAGCTCAAATATTTTAGAAAAAGTAATAAATTTGATTTTTAGTGAAGTTTTTTTTGGGAAAATTGTTCTGGGAAGTATAATTATAAAATAAATAAATGTATCGAATATGATATATGTTGAAATGGAATCAAACTATTATATATGTTGATTGAAATGGAATCAAACTAAAAAAAAAAACTTGTATTGATTGAAATAATTGTATAAAAGTAATGTGACATAACTAATAAAATGAATTGTTCTCTTTTCCTAATTTCAAATTTTAATTTAATATGATAATTTATTTTGTTTATTTATATGTCAATGATATATTATTTCATTTGATTTTTTCATTATAATAGGATAATTTTTGTGATATGAAATTACATTATAATACAGTTATACATCTTCTTTTCTTTCTTTTTCAAAAAAAAAAGTTCTTATGAAAATTTGAAATTTTATGAATTGATAAAATATGTAAGAAAATAAGTTTTTTTTTTTTTTTTTTTTTTTAAATTGCACAAGTGATAAAAATTATTTTGAAAATTTTAAGTCGGAAAAATTTGAAATGTTTGTGAATATTTTTTGTCACTTTTGTAACTGATTGAAAACACTGATAATAATAAATCAATTTTCAAATCGATTTATGAGATAAAAAAAAAAAGAATTATTTGTTGCACATAAGATTGATTTATTATTATCAAATAGATTAATTGATTTAATGGATGGGAAATGATTAAATTTAGGAAAAAAACTGTGAAAGACAAAGAATGAAATTAATAGAATTAAATTGTTGGTTGTTTATGATAATAAAATTAATTTGAAAATAAATGAATGATTTAGCTAAGATGTTCAGATCAATCTTATAAAAGTTCATTTTGATATATCTTATCAGCTAAACAATTGAAATGTGTTATTTATCAATTAGCTGTGTGATCAGCGTAAGAGCGTTTAAGAAAAATTGATAAATTAACAAATCATTAAAAGTGCTTTCATTTGAATGCAAATGAATTTAGGAAAGGAGAAATTGTCACAAAAATGTCACACTGATTATAACTGATAGAATATTGATATTATAAAAATAATTTAACATTTAATATCCTTAATCTACTTAAATTACATTGATATTGTGATATGATAATATTGGTAAATTATTTAACTGATTTGATAATATTGATTAAATCAGTTGAATCAATTAATGCTTTTAAAGAATGCGGCATTGATCATTTAATGATTTAATGAGCAAAAAAAAAAAAAATTATATTAAATTTTCATAATTTCATTCAGTTTAACAGCAAATGTTTTGAATCTAATAGATTTAATCAATAATAATTAGGATTCTATAGCAGTTTTACTAATTATCAATTAATTAGTTATTTTTAAAAGTTATCAAATATAGTTCTGATAATAACTTCATATTATCACGAATCAATTATTCAAAAGATTTGAGCGCAAAATAAAATTATAAATTCAAATATAAGCATAAAACTGCTGAAATTGTTAAAATATGCATAAATTACGTAAAACTGATAGCTGTAATTATTTGAAACTATTAAAACTGAATGGAATTTTTTTAAATAATAAACTTTTCTTAATTAAATGAAAAAATTAATTTGACAAAAATATAATTTAAGCTAAAAATATAAATATAAAATTCTGCTTTTGAAACTTAGGTAACATTAGATGAAAAATTTAACACTTATTGGCTTGGCTAGTAGAGATATGATAACAGTTTATATCAATTATAAATTTATCACTAAAGTCAAATTTTTTATATCAGATTGCAAAATTATAAAAATTTTTCTCGAGAAATATATCAATCGGTAAAGCTTATTTAATTAAATTAAGCTACAAAAATCTAGCAAAACAAAAATTTTAAGTTAAAAATAAAAAAAAATAGGTGTAAGAAAATGTTAAATTTGAAATTTTGCAATCATTTAGCTTTCAGCATGAAGGTAATATGTGTTTAATTGCTAAACTTTTTGATTTTGATTAAAGTAATATATAATAAATTAAAGTAATATATAATCAATTTTTTGATTTTGATTAAAGTAATACTTAATAATTTTTTTTTAATTAAAGTAATATAAAAACTATTTCAAAATTATTGGTATTAAAATTGAAAAGATTATAAATTCAAACCACATGTAAATTCTTGATAGGATTTTTTATCCTGAAATTAATTATAAATATGTTTTGAAATTTGCTCATTTTTATAACAAATAATCTTTGCTTTTTCAAATTTCTCAAATTTTGAAGGAACTACAACTATTACCAATTTCAGGATTTAAAAAAAATAAGTGACAAAATTTGTTATTTCATACCGAGGAATTTTATAAAAAATTTAATTATTATTATTAATTATCAATTTATTTTCAGTGTTCAATTGTTATTTTATGATTAGTTTTTTTTTTTTTTTTTTTTTTTTTGCGACAAAGAAAATTTTGTCAAATAATTGAACATTTGTCCACAAATTGTTATTAGCTTTATTGATAGTTAAAACAATCATTTTTGATTTGTCTAAAATGATCGTGATTTGATTCTAAATGATTGCAGTTATTTTGATCAATTAGCTATGATCAATGCTTTTTTTTTTTTTTGAACTGATTATTATTCAATGATAATTTTCCTAAATGTAAAGAAAAAAAAAAGGACGAAAATGAATTGCTTTTTGATCATTTATTAGTTGCATTGATTGCCATTGATTAGCATATATTATCTGAAATATGAGCTAATATTCGATTACTTAAAATTGAATTGCAAATTCAAGAATCAAATATTGCTAATAATTGAAAATAGCAATGACTAAATTTATAAGTAACATAATTTTTTACTTTTTTTTTTTTTACTAATTTTTTACTTTATTACTTTTTCTAAAATATTTGAGCTATTATACAATGCAAGATAAACAATATTACATTCCAAATATTCTAAATTAAATATTACCAAATGTCCTTAAACATGCTAGAATTCCACATGCTAGAATAAATTTAAATAAAGCATAACCATTTAAATATCACCAAAAAAAAAGTATAGTAATTTAAGTAGACAAATTTTGAAAAAAAAAAAGAAAAAAAGGTATGACATATATTAGTAGTTAAATTTGAAAGGTAGCAATAATAACAATAACATACCAAATTCTTTGAAACTTTAAAAGAAAATTAGTTTTTTTTAAAAGAAAAAAATATTTTTCAATTTCATTAATTTCATCATTTTTAAATGAATATTTTTTGTTTCGCTGATTTTTTTAACTAATCTAATTTAGGTACTAAATAGTTTAATTGATTTTTTATTCTATATTATATTGCAACTAAAAATAAAAATTATTTCATAATTTAATTTAATCACTGAGTTATTCAATTTATTATCATCAAAACAGATAGCAAACATGATTTTTTTTTTTTTTGTAATTTTAGGTTTTTTTTCTTTTCTTTCCTATCATATTTTTTGTTCTCATTTTTTTTTTTTTTTGTTAAGCAAGAAAAAGACATAAAAATTCAATGAAATACCATACGGAAATTTATTTAAAAAAAATTATTGATCATAAAACTTTCAATAGCCTTTGCAATTTTAACTTTTTATTTTGTTTTTGTCCTTTTATCTCTTTCTTTTCTGGTCGTTTTAATTCTAGAAAAATTCATTCAGAAATTTATTCAGCCCTCATCGCCCGCTACCACCCCGCGCCTACAGGCCACGCCTTCGTCGCCCCGCCCCTAATACGCTTGCTTGACCACGCCCTTTTCGCCCGCCTCCACGCCCCTTCGTCCCGGCCACTGCATTCTATCACTGTACTTATCACTGCACTTATCACTGCACCTCTTATCACTGTACCTCTTATCACCTGTACCATTATCACTGCCTTCTATCACTGCACTCACTTTATCACTGTACTTATCACTGTACCTCTTATCACTGCACCTCTTATCACTGC